TGATGTTACATATGGAACCAGTTCATGTAATAATATTTCCCCCCATTATTTTTACACGATACTTGGCGCGAACTAATCCTCACCCTGAGCGATGAAGCCTTTTGGAGGATTGGCCGTGAGCCAGGGCTTGCAGTACGTGGGTTCGTTGGGTTTGGTGATAAACTCAAACTGACAGGGCACCTGTCCGTCGTTCGTGATGGTGAAAGCCTCCGCCTGATGCTGCATGAACTTCACATCTTTAAAGTGGAGGGGTTTGGATTTTTATAAAAAAAAAAAAAAGAGAGAAAAAAAAAAAAAAGAAAGAGAAAAAGAAAAAAAAAGTGGTCTGTTGACAGGAATCATCATGAAGTCACGTTCAGTATCAACAGAGAAGTCGATTGACCACAGGGTGAAATCACTGAGAAACGTTACCTCTCGTTTGGACAGGGTGACGGAGGGAATACACTCGTTCTCCATTTTGTCGATATTGCGGACAATTTCTTCAAACGTCTTCTTGTAGGCCTCGTTGTTGACCCTCTTGATCTGTGGGAACACGTGTGGCGTGAGCACAGACGTCAAACTCAGCCCACGACGCGGTGGAGGATATCAAAATAGCAGGCTGACTCATTTACCCCAACGACGAGCAGCGAACTGACTGGTTTGTGGTCGCTGGTCTTCAGAGTCATGTGACTCCTGTAATGTTGGTGCTTGATGTTCTTCCCTCTCCACAGGATCCGGTCACACCACGCAGGGACGCGGCACTTTTCGCTGAATGTGTGAGTTTCAAACACTGGTCAAGTTTCAAGTTGGAATAAAGGAACTTGGCTGTGAAGTGTTTTGATTTGTTACATTTCACGTCCACTGGTAACACCGACAGAACTCTGTGCCTCATTCATTCAAATTAAAACAAATTTAGATTTGTTTTAATTTAAATTTCTGTCACATTTTATGCTGTAAAGCAAAGGTGTTCAACAGGGGGTCCGCCACCCCATGGGAGTCAGTGGAGGCACTGTGTGGGGGTCATAACATTTTTTGATTGATTACATGTTTACATGTTAAATGTTTTAAACATATAATACGCATTAATGTGTATTTATTTTTTTGTAAAAAGTATTTTTATAAAGGGCAGTAACTATGACAGGCCGTCACTGGTTCATGTTTT